ATGGGGGATGCAATCTGGCCACCTGCAGACCGTCATAGCCTACAGGCACGTTTTGCTGATGTTGTAAAAAGAAAAGTAACAGCAGGCATAGGGGCAGCGTGGTCCCTGCAGTTGGCACCTGGCCTGCTTCGTCCCTTTACCTCACTGCCTGTGTCCTGTGGGCAGGGGACCCCATCCCCCGTTAGGGGACCAGGAAGGATGTTGGCTGTATCATGAGCTTGCTGTGTGGCCCCGGTAAAACGACTCTGTTCTCCGGCCTCCATTTCCCCACTTCTCAGGCAAGGGGTTCGACAACCCGGCCCCTCACAGGCGGTGGTCCTGCTACTCTAAGTGTGGCCCTCAGGGCTCCCAGGCTTGGATGCCAAGGCTCTTTGGAAATGCAGCCTCTCACCCCCAGCCCACACCTGCTGCATCAGAACCCCCATGTTAACAAGCTCCCCAGGGGACTCCCACACACACTGTTTCTGAGTCGCATTTCTCGGGAATGTCCCCATCGTGGTGTGAGGTTAGCAGCAAACCACTTTCCAAGTTGGTTTCTGAGTGGCCTTTACACCTGGGGGGACTCAGACAAGATAGAAACTGTATGATCTTATTAGTAGAACGTCTCCCAGCCTTCTCGCAGGTTCTCTCTTAAGACTGGGTGGGACCCGTTGTGTGTGTGACAGCAGGAATACAGGACAGGCAATGCCTGGCTTTGAAATGGCAGCCAGACCAAGAAGAAGTATTGTAGGGTGGAAAAAAATGTTCCTTCCCCACTTTCTAAGTTCTTCTGGCTGGACAAATAATCAGTTCATAAGAGATGGATCATCAGGAGAAAGTGACCAACTCATTACATGTGTGCACATGGGGTTCCCCAGGAATGTGAGACCTGAGGACACGCTGAGCATTGAGGCTTACATGCCATTCTGGACTAAGGAGAGGGAGGCAGAGGTCTGGGACTTCAAAGAGAAAGTCGGCAGTTGACAGGCAGCTGAGGAAAGCAAACACACACTTGGCCACAGAGGGGACACTGAGGGAGGGTAAGGTGCATGGCCCTCCCAGTCTGCCACACGGAGTTCACATATGCCAGAGAGAATATGCCGAGTTTCCTCCCTGAAACAAGTTTTTCTATCTGAGTTCCTTTGGGCAGGTAAAGTAGAAGGTAAAAAGCAACCCCTCATGAGCTTGTTGGGCTTTCTTTCTGCTTAAAGTAATCTGTATGCCAGGGGTAGCACATTCACTGTGTGTGTGTATGCATGTGTGTGTATGCGTGTGTGCATGTGTGTATACATGTGTGTGTGCACATGTGTGTATTTGTCAAGAGGCTGAAATGTTCTCTGTGGGCAGGTCATATTTGAGCATTTATTAAAAGTTTTGAGTGACTAGAACAAGGAAAGGAAGTTTGCTGATGGACTTAAAGCCGGGGCTTAGGGAATACTCATATGCCAGGAGCTGTTCCAAATCTTTAAACATGCACAAATCCTCACAACAACCCTGTGAGGCAAATGTTACTATTCTCCCCATGTTATAACGAAGAAGCTGGGAACAAAGCCACGTGTCTTCTCTAAGGCAGCACAGTAGCGTCAGGATGAGAACGGAGACATCTGGCTCCAAGGCCCACGCTGTCCGTGACAGCGCTGCCCTGCGAGGCACGTGGAGCCTATTTGGCGAGTGACTGGGAGAGATAAGGACGGCTCGAGTTATTTGCAAAGAGGCTGGGACTGTCTCAGGAAGGAGCACAAGCTGGGATTCTGCTTGGGGCATAGTAGGTGCTGAGTAAATGCATGCAGAATGAATGAGTAAAAGGATGAACTAGTTAGTGAGCAAGTTTCCGGTTGTCTGACATAGTCTAGTCTGGTCAAGGCCAAACTGTCACAGAGTCAGTTAAAACTGAGCATTTGGAGGAATCACCCAGGGCTTCCTGGAAGAGGTGGCAGAAGGGTGGCCTTTCAGATGGGAACGAACGCCAAAAGCCCATTGTCTGCAAACTCTTGTCCAAGCAATCACTGACGCCTCTCCTGCAGAGGGGGACCACACAGGCGATGCACACAGGAAGGTGTCTGTCAGCTTGGTGCATCGCCTGTGTGGTCCCCCTCTGCAGGAGACTTTGGCGGGAGCATGTTCTTCCATCCACTCTGGCACCACGTGGTCCCTGGTGCTGGCCAAGGATGCCCGCCTGTCTGCTCCCGCTACCTCTCCCCTTACCAGCGGAAGGTGAACGCCACAGTGCTCCCTGTCAACCGAAGCACAGGCCATTCCCTTGTAGGGCCAAGGCTGGCGACCTTTTGCCGCAATATTTCATAATTTATATATTTGATTAAGAAGCGGAACCCGAGCCAGCAGCCTGCATAATCTTAGCCTATTGGGATCATTTGCTGCTTGTGTCACTCTTCTATTTTAAAACTTTCCATATTTGAACGCGTGGAAGTACATCCCTTCCATTTATTAAATTTTTCCCATAAAAACAGTTTAGTAAGTCTCCATCACCATCCATAAAATTAAGCAGCGGAAGCCACCACAAGACCTTGTAGACATTTCCTTTAGGGAATACTTAGGCCGCCTTTAAAAACATTAGCCTTTCCTTGCCAGTAATTAAAGAAAATATCAAGACAAATACAATTTTCAGTGGCACGATAATTACTCCAGGAGGAGCTTTGTGACTTGGCTTCCATCCTTGCTCTTTGCTCCGCCCTCCCCGGCCTTCCAGGTGCCTCCATTCCCCAATCCTGGGAGTCTTACTCCGTAGGTTCCGTGGGTTCGTTTTCTTCAGTTTCTCTGACCACCGCTTTCCTGTGCATTGTACCCATCATCCCTCTCTTCAGAGACCTGAGCCAGCTCCGCTTTGCCTAGGAGGCTTCTCTTTGCTACCTCCAGCTCTCACAAGCCTGCTTTCCACAAGGGGCCTGTTTCATCCTATTCGGGTGTGGCTGCCTTTTCGAATCCTTTCTCCTCCCCATCAAGTCGGCTGGTCGGCACCATGATCAAGGCCAATCTTAGGACCCTGGCCATCTAGGCGCAGTGATTGGTCAAAAGAAAGGCACGTGACCCACATTGGGCCAACCAGGAGGAGAGACTTCCTGCTCATTGGGGCACTGGCTCCCAGGGCCAAAGGGACCCTCCCTGCTGCGGAGGCCTCGTCTGCTGCCACCTGGGTGAACTGCCCGAGAGTGGAGCCGCCATGGAGGAAAACAGAGGGGAGAGCTGGAGAAAGGAATGAACTTCATCATTTGAACCGCTGGATCCAGTTGTTCCTGAAGTTAGCCATTCTCTTGAACTTTCTGACCAGAAAGTAAATTCTAGAATGTGGATTCCCTCTAATTGGGGCACAGGAGCGGGGGGTAGGTGTGAGAGGGGGTAAGTGTAAAACTGGTTTGAATTGGGTTTCCTTCACGAGAGAGGCCTGGATAACAGTTCTTCTGTTTGCAGTCCAAAACCCTTCTGTTGTTTAAGAACCAACCTTGTCCCAGACTCAGAAGAGAAGAACATTTTATGCTGAAACCTGTGATTTATCATCACAGAATAGAGGACTCAAACAAAGAAATCATTCTGCTTCACACGAGGAGAATCTGACTGGTTGCAAACAGCAGCTGCGATCAGAGGGCGAGCCTCTTATCTTCCTCCCTCGGCGGCGGCCGCGCCAGCACTGGCTTGTCAATGGCCGAGACGTGTCAGCCGCCGGCGCAGATGCCCTCGCAGTCCTTTCATGTAATGTTCTCATGTTCTTCGAAGCCAAACATTTGGAGCCGAAGTCTGATAACGCGGTGAGTCAGTGCTCATGGCACTGTCGTCTGCATCCCCGTGGGACAGACTTGATTAAAAACCCAAATCAACCTCGGAGTAGCATGGCCTCAGAAATGTGTGAGTCACACGAGCTGAAACGTGACCCTTCTTGGGGACCAGTCATATTGTTTTTGGCTACAATGACCAAGACCCCCACTGATGGGGAACCATCTGATACAGAAGTTTGTCAGACAAAGTGGAAGTCGATCACCCTGCATTTAAGAATAAAGAAATAATTCTTGTGTAAGAAGAACCCTAGAGCCGAGGTTACTGGCTAGAGGACATGACCAGGCACCTACGCTCTGTTTAACTCTCAGCCCCATAATCCTGCGACTGGCTTGGTTCCCCTGTCTCCTCCTGGTTCTGAGGCGGCACCAGGAGTTTCAACCCAACAGCCCCGGCTTCAGATGAGGGAACTCCCAGATTCCAACGCTGGGCTAAAGAAAATACAACATGAGCCGGGCATTTCTTTTTCTTTCTTTCTTCTTTTTTTTAAATGAATTTTCCATCTGACTTTATTTTCCAATACACTTCCTTTAAAAACAAACAAACAAACAAACAAAAAAACCAATACACTCTCTGTGGGGGTGACAGATATCAGTATTAGGAAATCTAATTATACAAAAAGTACTACATCTAGTTTGGAGTAGATCTATTTATTTATTTTTGGTAACATACATTAAGTGGCACTAAATGCACAGTAACTATAAGGTAAGGAACACAGAGCCACAGAACTGTGACGTGGCCACAGCTGCATGAACTTGGCCTCTCTGGCTGAGCACATTTTGAAAAAACTGGATGCCCGCTCCAGAGGCTCCACAGCGCGTCTGCTCAGGAGGAAAGCTCTGAAGTGGCAGCACACCGGTGTACCTTGCAGCTGACAGATAACAGGCAAGGCATGTCGGTTAGGAAGCAGTGACAGCCTAACTCACAAGTGTTACCGTTTCTAGAAAGAAGCAGGAAGTTAAGGAATTCTAGAAAGAAGCAAGAAGTTAAGGAATTCCTTGAATCAGTGCCTGGTGTGTCAGGTGGGAGTGCAGAGGAGGGCTGTTAGAGAGCTGTCAGGGACAGGCAGACTGGATCCTCACTAATCATGGTTGGCTTCTAAATGCTGGTGGCAAGATGACTTGTGATTTGCAATCTCCGGTGAGTTATAGGTAACGGAAAAGGCCAGGAGTCACACAGAGGACTAAAGAGCAGCACTTCCAAACGAACTGCAGGAGGCTGTGCCTGCAAGCCGCTCACAAAAGGAGGCACCCGGACCTTTTCTTTCCACGCCTGGCTTGCAGGGCGGCCCTCGTGGCCATCTCGAAAACCTCCCGCACGCCGTCCTTGGTCTTGGCCGAGCACTCCACGTACCCAAAAGCGCCAATCCTGTGCGCCATCTCCCTGCCTTCCTCCGGCCTCACCGGCTCCTGCTTCATCCTGGCCAGTTCCCGCCGCGCGCGCTTGTCGGTGCGGATGTCCTTCTTGTTCCCCACCAGGACGATGGGCACCTTGGGGCAGAAGTGCTTGACCTCCGGGGCCCACTTCTCCTGGATGTTCTCCAGGCTGTCGCGGCTGTCGGCCGAGAAGCACATGAGGACGACGTCCGTGCCCGGGTAGGAGAGGGGCCGCAGGCGGTCGTAGTCCTCCTGGCCGGCCGTGTCCCACAGCGCCAGCGCCACCCGCCGCCCGTCCACCTCCACGTCCGCCACGTAGTTCTCGAACACCATGGGGATGTACACATCCGGGAACAGGTCCTTGCTGAAGACGAGGAGCAGGCAAGTCTTGCCGCAGGCTCCATCGCCCACGATCACCAGCTTCTTCCGGATGGCGGCCATGGCTTACCAAAGGGCTGCCCGGCCCGCGCGCGGTGGGGGGCACAAGTTCTGCAAAGCGCCCCTGACCTTCTCAGAGGAAGGGAGATGCTCTGACTCCAGCCTCTCTGCACCGATGACCCCGGTCCACTTGGGTCTAGGGCGAGCGGCTAAGGGGGCGGCGGACTAACGGACTGGCGGGAGGTGGGCAGGGAGCGCGAGTGCGTGCGCGGGGGTGGGGGGCGCAGGGCAGGCGGGGAGCAACGTGCGCGCCCCCCCGCGTGTCCGTGTCCCTCGGGCTTCTAGCCGGGCCTTTCTTATGGAGACAGAATGTAAATTTGTATTTAAAGAATGGCGGGGCTCTGGCCAGCGTGGCTCAGTGGACAGAGCATTGATCGACCTGTGTGTGGGCTGCAAGGTCAGGGTTCAGGGTTCGGTTCCGGTTGAGGGCATGTGCCTTGGTTGCAGGCATGTCCCCAGTAAGGGGTGTGCAGGAGGCAGCTGATTGATGATTCTCTCTCATCGATGTTCCTAACTCTCTGTCCCTCTCTCTTCCTCTCTCAATAATAATAATAATAATAATGATAATAATAATAAAATAAAAATAAAAATAACAAAAAGAATAATGGGGCCCTGGCCAGCATGGCTCAGTAGATAGAGCATTAATCAATCTGCAGACTGCAAGGCTGCGGGTTTGATTCCGGTCAAGGGCATATGCTTGGGTTGCGGGGCTCCATCCCCAGTAGGAGGTGTGCAGGAGGCAACCGATCCATGGTTCTCTCTCATCATGGATGTTTCTATCTCTCTTCCTCTCTTAAATCAATAAAAATGTATTGAAAAGAAAGAACGAACTATTGTCTGTTAAAAAAAAAAAAAAAGGATGGGGACATGCCAGAGAGACAGAGCCAACTCGAAGGAGTTTTCTTTGGCCAAATTTGGAACAATGTGAGCATCAAAATAAATAATGATAGCGACAGATGGTAAACAGTTGGATGAAAAAGACATCTGTAACTCCAAACTGATATAAATGTGTAAATAAATAAGGAGAATAAGCTTATTCGGGAAGGCAGGAGCATGCTCTGGGTGGCGTCCATGGGTCTGTTGGGGGCCACCCACCAGAGTGTGGACAGAACCCACTAGGCATCCTGCTAGGCTCCAGCAGAGGAGAGATGGGGCAATCATCGATAACCTTCCTGTCTAGCTGTCACCAACCCCTGCTTACAACTCTTTGAAGGCTCCCCATTGCTTCTCGAACAGAGAGCAGCCTTTTCTGTCACCCACAAAGCGAGCCCCTCTGAGGCCTCAGTGCCAATCTAGTCCCCTGTCACCCTCTGTGCTCCTGCTACAGCAGTCTTCTCTCAGCCCCAAGCAGGGGCCATGTTCACCACTGTATCTCTGAAACCAGGTATAGTGCCCGGCCAGTGTGGCTCTGTAGTTGAACATCGACCCATGAACCAGGAGGTCCCGGTTCTGATTCTCAGTCAGAGCACATGCCCGGGTTGAAGGCTCCATCCCCAGTAGGGGGTGTGCAGGAGGCAGCCGATCCATGATTCTCTCTCCTCATGGATGTTTCTCTCTCTCCCCCTCTCTCTCTCCCTTCTTTTCTGAAATCAATAAAAATATTTAAAAAAATAAAAATAAATAAAAGCAGTTAACAGTATTGAATAAACTGGTGCCTCTTTAGCCCCAGGGCCTTTGCACATGCTGTCCTCATATCCATCTGTAACTGTCCCTTTCCTCTTTGCCTACTCAGGTGTACTCACTCTTTAATTACCAGTTCTAAGTGTCACTTTTCTAAGAGCACATCTGACATCCATGACTAGGTCCAATATCTTCCATATCCTTTATAGCAACATAGCAACATGTACCTCACCTTTACAGCATCCATAGTAGATGTATTTTCACATTGACTGTGGGATATTTGCCCAGAATTTCCCCCGCAGACTGTAAAATCCAGTGTTATTTTTTGTTTGTTTGTTTATTATACCTGTGTACCCACTATAGGAATTGGAATGCTGTATTACTCACTGAAGATTTGTGAAATGAATGAATGAGTGAGTAGATGAATGAATATCTCATTGATGCTTCTGGGAAGTGACTGAGAAGCAGCTTATACTTGAGAAGCACCTCCTAGGACAGGTAGAATTGGACAGAAGGAACTGGTCTTCATGTAACCAGCCCAGAGCTAGCAGAAGCATGGGAGGGGAAAAGTGGGGTGGGGGGAGCTTGATCAAAGGGAGTTTCCGGATGTGTCAGAGAAATAGGCAAAGAGAAATCTAGAGAAATTATGGGTCATAAGACCAGAAAGACAAGCCAAGTTTTGGGACGATTCAAACATCAGGTGAGCACTTGGTTCTTAACTTGAGAGGCGGTGGGAAGCCAGGAGAGTGGGCAAGGACGGCACTCACATCTCCTCCCCAAGGAGACTTAAGAAAAGGCGGGATACCTAGTCTGGCTGCAGAGGAGGCAGCAGCAAACACCTATTGCCGTAGCTTTGGCCAAACTTGCAAAGCACATGAAGCGGGGACTGCAGATAAGAGATAGCCAGAGCGAAATCTGGTGATAAAATTCAAGAGACTTGGCAACAGAGGGGAAGTTTAAGAAGGAAGGAAGGTCTGGAGACGAGATTGGGAGTCCTAAGGCTCATGCCTTTCCGTGCCTTGTATCTGCAGCAGAAAAAGATCCTTTTGTGCCGAAACTGGTTTGGCTCAGTGGATAGAGCGTTGGCCTGCGGACTGAAGGGTCCCAGGTTCGATTCTGGTCAAGGGCATGTACCTTGGTTGCAGGCACATCCCCAGTAGGGCGTGTGCAAGAGGCAGCTGATCGATGATTCTCTCTCATCGATGTTTCTAACTCTCTATCCCTCTCTCTTCCTCTCTGTAAAAAAATCAATAAAAAAATATATTTTTTTAAAAAGATGCCTTTTCTTAGAAATGGTGGGAGAGAAATTAACTTGGAAGCGGCACATGCTCAGAGAGGCCATAAAAAGAGAAAAACGCACTCCAACACCTAGCATATCTGGCCATTCAATGTTCGGTTGGCAAGGTCTGTCCACACATGTCACCATGTGCCATGGCCGTGTTTGCCGGCTCCCCAACTCTCTACCTGGTCGTACACCCAGAGGGGCCCCCATTACCTGTTGGGCTCTGAGGCAGGAAGTGGGGTCCCTTTCTCTTCAAGCAGCTCATCGTCCCCAGGAGGCTGCTTGTTGCGACACCATGAAACATAACACACATTTCCATCCGGGATCTGGGGAAACCTGGCCAAGAGGGGCCCCCGCACTTCCAGAGCCTGTGCCAGCACCAGCATCCTGGGAACGGGCTAAACGGGTGCCAGGAAACCACGGCCTCCGTGTCAATAACTAGAGAAGGGCATGTGCGGACTGCATACAATGTTTATTGCTGTGTTTATCATGCCGAAACAGTCTTTATTTAAAATTCAAATTCCATTGGGGAGGAGGCAACAAACGATCGATCGATCGTTGGGATCCCAGCCTGCTCCCGGGGTCACGAAAAAGCACGCGCACTCTACAGCTACGCGGTTCCATCACTCAGCACTGCATTCTGGGAAACTCTTCCCGGAGGCCCCGTGCAGGATGCCAGCTGAGTCTCTAGTGGGTAGCTGGGACACAACAGCCACCAAGACAAAGGAAAACTCCATCCTAAGACTTCTCAGGTCATTTCTGGCTTTGAAAATTATCGACCCTCAAGGATCCACCACCACCCAACCTGGAATATATGTGCGTATATATTCTCATGGAAAGCAACGTTGCGGGTTTTGTTGCCGGCTGGCTGTCACATCAGGCCCGTAGGAGGGCCTCCCCACACCCGGCTTTCCTTCTCCGTGGGCGCCGGCGGGTCCTGGCCGCGGACAGGCAGCCCCTCAGGAGCGCCGGGACTTGCTGCACGTCGGGCACAGGAGCTGACCCTTGGTGACGATATACGCCCGGCCGCTCAGCTGCTGCTCGCAGCCCTCGCAGACGAAGTGCTTGCGGTGCCAGGCCAGGTCCTCCACGCGCTGGTAGTCCTCGGAGAATATTATCTGGGAGGAGAACAGAGGAAACGAGCCTTCTAGAGACAGAGTGTTGAGGGCTTGGAGGGTTGGAGGGTGGGTCAGCCTATGCTTGACTTTGTTTTGACCTTGGCCAGCCTCCATGGAGAAGTCGGACACCAGTCCGAGGCACTGAGTACAGTGTTTGGTGTAAGTCACGGTGGCATCGTAGGTTCTCGGATGTAAAGAAAAGTCCTCCAGCCGAAACTGGTTTGGCTCAGTGGATAGAGCATCGGCCTGCGGACTGAAAGGTCCTAGGTTTGATTCCGGTCAAGGGCATGTACCTTGGTTGTAGGCACATCCCCAGTAGGGTGTGTGCAAGAGGCAGCTGATCCATTATTCTCCCTCATTGATGTTTCTAACTCTCTTATCCCTCTCTCTTCCTCTCTGTAAAAACATCAATAAAATATATTTTTTTAAAAAGAAAAGTCCTCCACCATCCGCAGGTTTTTCTTGTCTAGTCTCTGGAACGTTCTAAGACAATATTAACTACCCCAGTGCGGACAGCCTAACCATAAAGGTAGTGTTTCCTGTCGCCACCGGCATGCAGACAGTAGTCACAGTTGTCATTATTAACATACCTTAGAGTTCCTCTAGCCCTGACCTATACCGGAGCATCGAACCGCTCTCATAGCACCTCTCGCTACTGTATTATAGCATATTAACGTGGTGTTATTATATCGCATTATACTCCTTTACCCTAAGACTAACAGCAGCTCCCGCTGATTAGTTCCGTGGCCAGGCCTATGTCAAGCATCTTCGTTCAGTATCTCACGTTCCTTCATAGCAACATGGCCTGGGTGCTGTTATCCTGCCCATTGTATAAGTGAGAAAACTGAGGCTCAGGAGCTGGCCAACCACACAAGCAACAGATGCGGAGCCAGGTACCTGCCTCCCGTTACACCCCGCCAGGTCCTTCTGAGCAGCTACTAAGGGCCAAGGCCAAGGCTGGACAGGCACTCCGCATCTGACCCATCCCAGCAACCCTAGGGGTGTGAAGGGATGCTGGCCCCATTTTCCAGATGCCAAACGGGGAGAGAACAGGGAGTGCAACCCGAGCCTCAGTTTTCCTCTCTGCGGGTCACATCCTCAGGGAAGCCACCCGCTCCTCGGCCTCCGGGTCCTCCCCCGCCATCGCAGCCAGGCGCGGGCTCTCACCTCATCGCAGCCGGAGCAGCGGGGCCGCACGCTCTCGCAGTAGTGGCGGCCGCACCAGGGCGCCCCGTTTTTCCAGAAGTAGATGAGGTCCACCAGGGGCTCGGAGCACTTGGCGCACACGAAGCAGGTGGGATGCCACTGCTTGTCGTAGCCGGCCCTGTCCGAGTAGACCACGGGGCTGTCGGCGGGTGCCACGCCCTTGCAGAGCTCACAGATCTGGAGGGAGGGGGGGACCCCAAAAACACAAGGTAGTCAGGAGAGCAAAGTGACCCAGGGGACAGCTTCAACTCCAGCCTCCTTCCTTCCTGGGTGACCTCGGGCAAGTTACTGTCGTTCCTCAGTTTTCTCCTCTGCAAAGTGGGTTAACAGCGCCCGCTTAGGAGGTTGGTGCGAGGACCAAATAGAATACTTGTTTAGCACGGTGACTCTCAACCTTTCTGTTCTCAGGACGTTTTACACTCTTAAAAAAGAGTATAAAATAACTTTTTGTTCATAGAGTGATAGTTATTGATATTTACCATCAGAGAAATTAAAACTGAGGGAAAAATTAAATAATTACGTATTAATCCATTAGACAATAAACCAGTATGTTAACATAAATATTTGTAATTAAAAATCATCCTGCCAAAACCAGTTTGGCTCAGTGGATAGAGTGTCGGCCTGCAGACTCAAGGGTCCCAGGTTCGATTCCAGTCAGGGGCATGTACCTCAGGTGCGGTACATCCCCAGTGTGGGGTGTGCAAGAGGCAGCTGATCAATGTTTCTCTCATCAATGTTTCTAACTCTCTATCCCTCTCTCTTTCTCTCTGTAAAAAGTCAATAAAATATATTTTTTTTAAAAAAATCATCCTATTTTTCAAAACAGAAAAGTTTAATGAGAAGAGTGGCCTGCTCTACAGTGTTGCAAATCCCTTTGATGACTGGCCTCTGGGTTCTGAATACCGCCTCCCCTTCTCCTGTTTTGCATGATGTTGTTTTCTTTGAACTCCATGAAGAAAGTCTGGCCGCACGCTGATAGGAAGCTGGAAAAGGGAGGGTGTTTTAATCACCTTCCCAGAAAACTGGATACAGTTTTCTTTGATTCTACATTAAAATTCGAGTGGTAGTTTCCCTCAAGTCAGTTATTGTGGGTTTGAAAGCATCTTAGCCAGCCTTTCATCCCGTTACGTGAAGACCCACTGGTACATGGAATGGATCTTTGCCCACGTTTGATGATTTTGTAATATGCTTTAAATTTTAGGACGGTTTTAGATTTAAAGAAAAGTTGTGACACATATGAATAGCTTACATTAATTTGGTATATTTGTCATGATTAATTAATAATACAGATGTGATTATTAACTGAAGTCCAAACTTTAAACTTCTATTGTTTAAGCTACCTGGTCTGTGGTAGTCTTAGCTTTTGCCTAATGTCCTGTTCCTGTCCCAGGACCCCCTGTGGGACCCCACATTGTATGTAGTCGTCCCGTCTCCTTAGGCCCCTCTTGGCTGTGCCCGTTTCTCATGCTTTCCTTGTTTTCGATGATGTTGACAGTTTGGAGGAGCGCTGCACAGTAGGGGTTTGTCTGATGTTCTCATTAAATGGGGAGGAAAACCACAGAGGTAAATTGCCAACCTCATCACATCCTACCCAGAGTATATACTCGATCCCTAAAACCCTTTGAGTCATTTTGGAGTTATCTCCTGCCTCTCAAAACTCTGATAATGATGATGATGATGGTGGTGGTGGTGGTGGTGGTGAGGCTAGCATTTCCTTAGGGCAGGTCTGGGTTCAGCACAGTGCTCAAGATCTCGCATTATTACTAATACCTCTTACAGAAACCCCAGAGAATTGTTGCCCCTCCTAGAGCGCTCTTCCTTTCAGGGAATTCATTATTTCCCCCCAAGATATGGCAAAGCTGAGGTTCAGAGATTCAGCGACTGCTCAGCTATGTCCAGCTGATAGGAGACAGAGCTGGGATTTGAACACTTGTCTCAAGCTGAGGTTTGTTCCGCTACATGTTGATCAGGTGTTGACAAACTGTGGCTGTGGCCAAACCTGACCATGGCCCTCTCTGGTAGGCCAGAGAAGAATAGGTTTTATGTTTCAGCTCCAATTCAGTGAAATGTTTCCTCAAAAAAAAAAAAAAATCAATTTTTCTCACTAGCAGATCTGTGTTATGCATTAAATTGTGTCTCCACTACATTTCTATGTTGAATTCACACGCTGAAGCCCTAACCCCAGGGTGACTGTGTTTGGACATAGGACCTTTAAGGAGGTACCTAAGGTTGAATTAGATCGTAAAGGTGGGACCCTAATCAGGACTGGCATCCTTGTAAGAGGAGAGACCAGAGATGAGCAACTTCTCTTTCTCCTCCTGATTATTACAGGGGAAAGACCATCCAAAATCCAGGAAGAGGTCTCACCAGAAACCAACCCTGCTGGCACCTTGGTCTTGGACTTCCAACCTCCAGAACAGTAAGAAAATACATGTCTGTTGTTTAAGCCACCTGCTCTGTGCTATTCCCAGTTCCCTGTAATGATACTCTGAACTGACTATTATAAAAACATGTGCTTAGTTATAATGTTGTACAGTTGACCCTCATACATGGGGGTTGAGGGCACCAACACTCCATACAGTAGAACATCAGCATATAACTTAAAATGGCCCTCTGCATATTTGGATCCCCAACCATGGATTGAAAATACAGTCGACCCTTGAGTAACATGGTTTTAAACTGAAAGGGACCCAAACAGTTGAAACCTGTGTCATTGAAGGATCAACTGTATTTTGAATTACAAATATTTAAAATATGGTAGAGATTGGTTTTTCTCTCTTGTTACATAAAGTGTCCACATGACATCGTTGATTTGGATCTTGGCTAAGGTGACCAGACATCCCGCTTTTGGCGGGACAGTCCCGATTTTTAACTAAAATTAAAAATTAAAGTTAAAAATCGGGACTGTCCCGCCAAAAGTGGGACGTCTGGTCACCTTAATCTTGGCCCCCCACCCCTGACACATTGGCAGCTGGGCCTTCTCCAGAAAACACTTGCTGACCGGGCGTTGGGGGAGAGCCCCATGCTACTGAGCACCAGTTCCCATGGGAGTGGTTATTGTTTTGCCCCATAGAGATGAGCAAGCATATGTGAAGAGCTTACACACTTAGTACCCTCCATTCAAATACTTGAATCACACACCACTATCCTCCTGTGCCTGAAGGGGAAATGGAAATGAACACGGTGCAGAGTGTCCACGCGCTGCTCCGAGCACGGCCGGTGGATGAGCACCCAGCGAAGGAATGCTAACTGCTCCGACTCCCGCCGAGGGCGCTGAGGACGTCCTGGGCTTGTGGTTTCGCTTCTGCCCACAGGAATGAGTGGTGTGGCAGCCCCGCGCCGCCGCACACGACCCAGTCCCAGCTCCCAGCTCGCCAGGAACCACCAGGCGTCTGAACCAAAAGCGAGTGATGAGTCAGCATTCCTTTATTCTCACCATCTCTCCAGTGCAGCCGGGAAGGGTCAACTCTTTGGCAAAGGCTACTGAGTATCAAGCGAGTTGTCTGTCTGTCTGTCTGGCTCTCTAAATTTTGTCAAGGGCCTCGCTGAGGTGTCTCTTCCCTCTCTGTTTCCCAGCATCCCTGGCTCCTGGCCGCGTGGCTGACAGTAGCCAGCCCTTCTCAGTAGACAGCTCCGCTGCCCTTGTATGAAAGTAAGACATCCGGGTAATGAGCCCTGTCAGCATGCTTCAGGAACCAGTTTACTTCTCCTTGATTCCGAGCTGTTTTCTATACCTCTTTCCCTGTCGTCTCCAAGGATGATGGGGCCGACTGTTCTGTCACCTGCCAGTCCCCCAGCCACCGGGGGCAGGCTGGCCTTGGCGAGTCAGAATGCCTAGCCTGCTGGGGTCTGCAGTCCTGGCCCCACCTTCCTCTGGACAAACTTCCGTAACCTTTGATTCTGTGGTTTACAATCTTTAAAGCACAGGAGGTGGTTGGGAGGTGTGACTTGGGCAAGTTACCCAGCCTCTCTGTGCCTTAGTTTCTTCACCTGTCAAGTGAGGATACTATTACTAACACTAACAACACCACAGGGTTGTTGCATGATGAAATGAGAACACGGTTAGTGGACTCCATGAGAGTTCAGCATAATTAGCTAAAACCTCCTGTGACTCCCTGCCCCAGCCCCCCTGATAGATGAGAAAGCTGAGGCTCAGAGGAGTTAACACTTGCCCAAGGTGACAAAGACAGGCTGACGGTGGGGTCTGCACTGGGTTAGGGGGCCCAGGATTCCTCCTGAGCTATGTGTGTTTCACCGTCTGGCAGGACCTCAGATTCAGCTACAATCAGTGCCTGGCCTGGTGGGCCTGCTCTGATCTCACTCCAACCCGACCGTCTGTAAGATAGTGACTCTCAGCCTGGAGTCTGTCCAGTCGCCCCCAGAGGGCTTGTTCACGCAGCCCGCTGGGCCCCCGCCCAGAGAGTCTGAGTCGGTAGGTCTGGGATGAGGCACAGTTCCCTGGAGATGCTGATGTGGTCAGCAGACCATGGTTGGAGAACCACTGTCATAGAGCGTTTCAAGATGATCTTATAAACAAATCCGGCAGAAATGGTATCACCAATTTTTGATTGGGGTACAGCGAAATCCGATTAGAATTCCCGGCCTGCTTATATTCTGGACTATTTTTAAGAAAGCCCGATGTGGTCATTCTTAGGCTACTTTGCCTATGAAGGAGATAGTGTAGTCAAGTAGGAGTCCTCTGGGACTATGTGGAAAAGCTTAGAGAAAAAACATTTATGATTAGCATATCAGTTGGTTCTTACTCATACTCCCTGCTATCTAATATCAGAGTTTGTGCCCTGGCCAGTGTGGTTCAGTGGGTTGGACATCATCCCATGCACCAAAAGGTTGCCTGTTGGATTCAAAAAGGTCGGAGCACATGCCTGGGTTTTGGGCTCGATTCTCAGTAGGGGGAGGTGCAGGAAGTAGCCAATCAATGTTCCATTCTCATTTTGATGCCCCCCCCCCCCTCTTTCCATTCCTCTCTCTCTCTAAAAAAATAAAATAAAAGTCAGAGCATGTTCATGAGACCCTTGCCAACGTTTGCCATGCAGCTCAGTTCACAGACTATTCCCCCGGGGGGAGGACATGTGGCACAAACCCATCACAGGTAGAACAAACGTGACGTTCTCCTTGTGCCATTGAAGGTTTGTCCTGTCCCTGTTCCAGTGACCAGC